TATGGCACAAGGAGAGACCTTTGCAAGGGACAAGCGGCGATGACAAGCCAGAGGTCAGTAACTTTACAAGGTCAAGGGTCATGAAATTTTTCACGACAATAAACATATATCAAGGTAGTTTTAAGAGTGATTCGGAAGAATTAAATTGTGTCGGATATTTCAGGATATTTAAGATTTTTAAAAATATTACAAAGAGTTTCGGAACATTTAGGAGTAAAAAAAATGTTCAAAGAGAATGAATATACATATATATTACAAAGGTTTCACGGGCTTTTCATTAAAAAATGTTCTAGATGGGAACTTAAGACATTTATAAACATCAACAGTAAATATATCAAGAGGTTTACAGGACAAGTATCATTAACTCCTTTTTGCATGGACAACGAAATACAAGACACCATTTGTTAAAAAGAAGAGAAGAAGAAGAAGAGAAAAAAAAACATGATAAAAGATAAATTCCACAGACAGAACAGTCGTCATGGGTATAGACAAAGTAAATTGCTGAAGTCCATAAAGTGTAGCTTAGTTTATGTATAGTCTATAATTTGTAACATTTTCCATATCAGAAATTTGCTTCGTCGATAAAAGAAAGACGATAATATATCGTCTTTCTCTTATCGACTAAGCAATATATATCAATATATCTGAAATTTATACTTAAATAATATTTAGAACCGTGTTAAATGCACAGAAATTACATTTTTAACGTCAGTCATAACAAAAGAGAAGTTATGAAGGATATCTTGTCAAACAAATAAAAAATATAGTAGTAATACATAAACAGATAAAAAAGAAAATAAATAGAATAAAATTCAGGCTTTGCGTAACGGGTCTGGCACACAAACCATTCCCCAAGAACTGCCTTTTTAGAAATACGAAAACGAAACGAAAATTCAGATCCAACAGGTATAGAGATGTCGAACACAGAGAAGGATTGAGACAAACAAATAGGTGAATAACCCTAAAGAAATACATGAAAACAAGAATAGAAAAAAACGAGAGATCGTATCTGGCCTTTCCAAATTCGAGTATACCAGAGTGTATATAAGAAAGAAGCGTAACAAAGAGACCGGCTCAGCTAATGAAAAAAGAGGGTTATGTCTAAACAGAAAATAAATCTATAACAATATCAAATAAACTTAGAGTCTAAAATTAAGGAAATATAAACATATGGACAACCTTGTCTACATGTACTCGTGTCCCTGTGACCTTTGACCTCAAACCCGCCACCGCAGCAGTGATTACGTCATCGTCTTCCTTACTGACGTCATCAACATCAACAGTGAACCGTAAACAGTGAAAAAAAATCTTATACAAGACGATGCAGATCATCTATATAGTGTTCGGTCTGATGAAGAAGTACAAGAGTGTACACCTGACTTATAGTGAGCTACAACGACGTACAGGGGAAGCTGTACACTGAAACACTAATTCAGTCGCAGTATGTGACCTAGACTGACCTAAGACATGCTTATGACACGTGACCAGACAAAGAACTGGAGGCGCAGATAAGGGAACGAGATTATAGAGAGGAGAATAATACATCATAGTCTATATGAAGAGAGTGGATGAAGGGAAAGATAATTATATTAAAGGGACAACAAGAGAGGGAGAAAGAGGAAATGAGTGAGAATATGTTGACAATTTCCCTTTGAGTCACGATCTCGGCAACATGGCGTCGAAAGCATCAACAGCCTACGTTGCTTTTCTATGGACAGCCTCGGCGAGAAAGGAAAAAGGACAACTGAATGATCTTTTCCCACTTTTAGCCATGATTCACGAGGTGCCCACTGCCATGACGCGGGTTTCTTTTACAACTACACAGTGGCGCGTGCCCTGGAAGGCGAGTGCGTTTGCGGAGGTATGTGTCTATACGGGAGAATGTACACGCCTTTGAGTGTCTATTAGGCAGTGTCACTGGCTCTGGCGCGATCGATTTTGGAATATCATAATAACGGATATTACGAAAGAGCACAAATTAAGGTAGCCCAGAGACGATCCACTCAAGGTTTGAGTGAGTTTTATCCCGTCTTCGCTCTGCATCCTGAGCCAGAGTCTGTGACAACGACTGTACTGTGTATAAACAAGTATGTTGCTATGAGAGCGTATGCACAAAGTGTGTATATCTACGCTAACGATCAGATGAAATGAAATGAACTTAAACTATCTGTGAGAGAGAGAAAACATTAACTAGAGATTCGGGCAGTGTGGTAATAGAGAGGTAAATGGTGCTGGGAAAGGCATCACATCTTGCAGAACAGGAGGAGGGAGATCGTGCGCGGAGAGAGAGAGACCAGGTTCCGACAGCAGGCATTTCCATCGATACCTTTGGCTGAAATGCTTTCCTTCGTCCGGAGAAAGGAATCGGATCTTTTTGAAACTTGGTCGTCCAACTTACACGTTGCAGTTTGGAAGACTTTTTCATGAACTGAATGGAAGAAATAAATCAAACAAGATGAATAGTGATGTAAAGAAGGATAGGTGTGTCTACGGATAAGGATGAGAAATAAAAGAACATTTGGATAATTTGTTTGAGGAAGAGGGAAGTCAAGTTAGACGTAGCACCATCAAAATGTCAGTCATTATTACTATCACTATCTGGTCCATTAAAGATAAAGATATTACTACCTAATATTACCTGTGGGGTTAATGCCTTTTTCTTTTCATCAACGTCCCACTATATTCACCGTAATCTTCGTCTCTACTTTATTAGAGACTTCCTTACCTATATACCAATGTTCATTAACCTTTCTTGCACACATATATATTTTCCTCTAACGCTATGCAATGTCTAAGAGAGTCAACACATCACGTGTACCTCACATTTCACTGGGTTTTGAGGCTCAACACATTTGTTTGAGTTTTCCCTGAATATGGTCTTGTCTTCGCACGTCCGTTTTCTTTTATGCGCTCCACGAAACGTTTTCTTTATACGTAAAATCGGCTGCTAAATAGTAATGCATAGCCTCCTTTTGTTTACTTTTTGGTATCATTATCAAAAGTACCTCCTCTAGATTTTTTACGTACATTCGTGACATTCGCAAATCCATACATAATTAAAATAACTTCTTTCTGGAATTGCTACTTATATTTTCAGAATTCACCAACACTGTCACAAGGAAACCCATCACAAGTGTATCATGACATAAATCAACGTTTCCATAAGTGACACATCGATTTAACTTATAATTAAAGTCCACAAGAACAATTTCTATCTTGTTTTTTTTTCTTTCTCTCCATGATATTCCTTCCACGCCAAAAACAGAAAACGAAAAAAAAAAAAAATCACCGGTACACAAGCAGGATCCAATCACCCATCTTGCTTTCTCCAAACACCGTCCTTTCTCCCGCCTCTGACACCTTCTCCTGTATCACCATTATCAGCATTTCTTAGGTAGGTGTGTCTCCCGCTCCATAATGCTTACAGTGCCTTCGTCGTTCACACCCCGTTCACCTGGCGGCACTACACGTACGGCAGCATAACCTGTTGTAGTACTTCAGCCTGCAGAGACGAGCCCGGAAGACCAGGTGACAGTTCTTGATCCGGTCTATGCACGACAGAGCTGCGACGGAGAAGGAAGAGGGTGTTAGTCGTCCGTGGTTAGAGGATAGGATGAGGAAAGCGATTTTATTACATTATTATTATTATATATTTTTTCTCTCCTAGACTCACTCGCCCCCCTTTTTTCCCTTCCTCTCCACCCCCCCTTTCTCTCTTCCTCTGTCTCTCTTTCTCTCTCTCTCTCTCCCTCTGTCTCTGTCTCTCTCTCTTTCTCTTTCTCCCTCTCTCTCTCCTCTAGTTTTCTCTCTCCCCTCTTTCTCTTTATCCCCCCCTCTCTTTCTCTCTATCTCCCTCCTCTCTCTCTCTCTCTCTCTCTCTCTCTCTCTCTCTCTCTCTCTCTCTCTCTCTCTCTCTCTCTCTCTCTCTCTCTCTCTCTCTCTCTCTCTCTCTCTCTCTCTCTCTCTCTCTCTCTCTCCCCCCCCCCCCCATGTCTCACATGGCGCCACGGTCGCCGGCTGCGTCTGCGAAGGGGATTCCTGCTCCTCGTCCTTGTTCTGCCGGTTCTTCTTCTTCTCCTTCTTCCTCTTCCTCTTCCTCTTCTCCTTTTCCTCGGCCTCTTCCTCCTCCTCCCTCGGGCCGTCCTCGTCGCCGCCTTCCGACACCGACTCGTCCCCCTGCGCGTCCTTGTCGGGGATGACGTTGGTGATGCTGCCCGTTTCCTCGACCACCACCAGCTCGTTCTCCTCCTCGCCTTCTTCCTCTCCTTCGTAAATCTCCCCCGTTCTCTCCGTTCCCTCTTCCACGCCTCTCTCGTCGGCGTCCTCTTCTCGGTCGTCCTCTACTCCTGCAGGATTTTCTTCGGTCGTCGGGTCGCCTTCGGTCTCCAGAGGGCGGGCCGTTGTCGCTTCCTCGTCGCTCTCTGTGGGCGGGAAAGGGCGCGGGTGACTATTGCATGGCGGTCGCATGAACGGAAGGGGGTCTTTAGAAGGGGGTCTTTGGAAGGGGTCTTTGGAAGGAGGTCTTTGGCTGGGGCAATGGGGGATTCGCGTGACAAAAGGAATCCTGAAAGAATGTGTCTGAGGTGATGAAGGATTACATAAAAGGATTGATTATTTCTGAAGCGACGTGGCTGAGGCGATGAGGATTGCATGACGCGATGAGGCGATGAGGATTGCATGACGGAAGAATGATTCGTAAAGCAAGTATGTCGACGTAAGGAACGACTCCAAGGCGAATGAACGACCCTTAGAACAGTGCATCGAAGGAATAGCATATGACAACGTGGCTGAAGCAATGAACGACTGCATGACAGGAAAGGTTTCAAGAACATGGCTGAGGTGATGACGGACTGCCGGACGGAGAAAATACAATTTTAACAATAACAATATCAAAAAAAAAAAAAACTTGATATTTCCTTCCTCTCGGCGGGGTTGCAGTTTTACAGAACCATAAGTAAAGGGTTAGACTTCTACATATGTTTCAGCGCTTTGATTTAAAA